ATCAACAGTAACCTCTTACGACATAGTTCGTCTAGCTAAACGCTTTTTTTCCGCTTCCGAGGTGCGCTTCAAACGCGTGTGATCCCCTCAGTTGCGCTTGAGGCCGCCAAATAAACTGCTCTACCTTTGTTTCTTCGTGCGTTGTTATTTGATTGTCGATGCAGTTGCGATCAGTGGATTCCGCTTTGCAAGCGGACTGACCGTAATGAATTTTTTCACTTGTTGGGGTGACGAAACGGGGCTCGCAAAGCTCGAGCACGTCGCGGAGCCAATACTTTTCCATTGCATCGTCTGCTTCCGTAGACTCCGAGTCCGCTAGAGGCACCACTGTCGCGTTCGCCGCTGCTCCAATGGGTTTTCGGATTAGTTGCCAGTATTGGCGAAGCTATATGCTATTTGATTACACTTCTAGGACGTCATCGGGTGGAAATAGAGGGACCACCCGTTTGGACACCAGTCTTAGACGGGTTCCAAGTGCCGTAGTTCTAGAGTTCCGTGGATTTGGTGTACACCGATGAACTTCGAACAGGAACCGCCTAGCTGGTTTTATCGAAAATGGGATAAAGCGAAAAATTTCAAATCTTGAATAAGAAAATTCCGAGCATCACGAAAACCTTTCTCTGCATATTTATGTTGTGTTTACCCGCAACTCAAGCAGCATGACCTGTCAGCGAGGTTGCTTTCTCCTCCGGAAATAAGAGCCATCTCGATTCCTTCACTCCTCGATATACCGAAGCGTTTTTTCAAGTTTTCGGAATACCCGCATATTCCTCGTAGGTTCAACAAAGGGCCGTATAAGCGCCAAATTTGTTTTTGTCCTTCATCGAGACTAGATAACGAGAAGTCGCAAAATGTGTGGGAGAAACTACACTATTTAAGAACACCTCCGAATTCGAAGAAATAACGCGAGCACAGGCAACCCTACAGTTACGATGTACTTGACGTTGCCATTAATTTACGCGCAGCATACTGAAGCAGCAAGCTTCAGTATAAGCGGAGCTAAAAACAGAGCGAATCCCTCGGGCACGATAGATACTCGAGGCTGAGTAAGCTAACTGGAAAGCACGGACAACACTGAAGCTCGAAACATAGTGTGGTGCTTGATGGGTTGTGTGTTTGCTTATACAGCCTAGAACTTGGTCTGCCTCACAGGGGCGACGAGTCTCCCAGCTGTCCCAGCTGTAGATGAGAAATTTAGCCAGTGCGGTACAGCCGCTAGCCTGGGGTCTTTAACGTGCATCACGCAGTAGTGATACACGACCGCACGCCGGTACGATGTTCATCCAGATCGGAACGGGCAGGGGTGGGGCTCGAACCCAGGATCCCTGGGTTCTGCAGCGCGAGCTTTCGCTCCACGTGCTCCGAGCTGGTGTGCGCTAGACCACTCGGCCACCGATCCCTTTTTTTTTTTTTTTTTTTTTTTTTTTTTTATTATTGCATGGTAGTTACAGCAACATTCATGTCATTCTAACAGCACTGCACAGCTCTTTTGCACAGCGTATTAAAAATCACGCATTTCGAGGAGTGATTTTAAAATACTAGTCCACTCCGGTTCAGGTTCACAGTTCAAATACACACTCTGTACTTGTTTTACAAGGTTGAAGAAATATATCCGCACTTCTTTTGCATCGAGGTCAGCATGTCGAACAGCCATACGTGATCTCCAAATGCTGCACAAAGCTAACAACATAATCATGTCATAAGGAACTTCATTATCATTATCCACACTAAGGAAACGTATCCCTGTTGGGGTTACAGGTAATTCTTTCTTTAAAGTGCGTTGGAGGACATCCCAGAAAAATACCGCGTCCCAACAAAAAATAAACACATGTTCAATAGTCTCAGGTTTTTTACATAGAAGGCAATTTACCGACCATGGCACATAGATCCCTCTTTCTTTAAGCCAAACCTTAACTGGCACGGTATTCGTGTGTAATTTATAAAAGAAAGTCTTAACACCCGCGGGAACACACATCCTTTTTACACGTCTAAGCACATCGTGGCCATGTTGGGACGCAGCTCGATACAAGGGCATGGGGAAAACACTCACAACTAAATCGCGATAAAGCGCTTTTTTACTGACATCACAAAGGTAATTCAAAGAAAAACGTGCTGTCAGAAACCCCATCGTGTCAACAACTTCTTTCAAAAAACCAGTGATTCTTGTTGGCTCGCCGCCATGAGAAGAAACAAGAAAAGATGGCAAATGTGGTGACACTTTTGTTTGGATCAGTGTGCGAATGAACGGGTGCTCTTGGTCTCTCAAAAAAAGAAGCGTGACACAAGCTGCTTGACAAAAAGGTGGGAAAGCCCCACGCCACCGTTACAAACTCGATGAAAAAGATTGTCTCGTCTCATCGGCTCATACTTCGAGTTCCAAATAAACGTGGCGAAAATTCGATGAAATTTTTGAACATTAGTTCGCGCACAATGGATGACCTGAAGAACATACCAGAGCTTCGCAATCAGAAAAACGTTACAAACAGTCGCTCGGGCAAAAATGGACAGCTCGCGTTGCTTCCAACGAGAAGCACGCCTGTCCAGGTCGATAGCGACACCCGACCAGTACGTTTGGCTATTCCGGAAACTTTGCAATGGCACCCCGAGGTACTTGCACGGCACTGTGTCCCAGCATACACCCTCGAATTCTGAGGGTGTAGTGGCCCAAGCACCATGCCAGAAACCACGGCACTTTTCCCAGTTTATAACAGCACCAGTAGCGTGGCAAAACCTTTTAGCCAAAGTTATGACTTCGGTAACGCTTTCTTTGTCCCTACAAAAAACAGCAATGTCATCGGCGTAACTCATTATTTTTACTTCTGCATTATAAAATTGGAAACCTCGGACACGTTGACTATTTTTTACGCTTAAACAGAAAAGCTCTAAATACAAATCAAACAAAAGGGGAGACATAGGGCAACCTTGTCGTACCGACTCTCGTACGTTAATAACAGAACTGAGCTCTTTGTTCACTATAAGCCTTGTTGTACAGTCCTTATAGGCCATCTTTACACCTTTTAGGATGGCGTCACCAACATTGACATGACTCAAAACATCAAAGAGTACATCATGGCTAACACGGTCGAATGCCTTATCTAGATCTATCTGTAGCACTGCAACCTGCGTGATGCTGTCACTGCAGGCCTCCAGGACGCTACGAGCCACATGCACATTTGTCAAGATAGTCCTCCCCTGTATCCCACACGTTTGATGCTCGCTTATTATCTCACATGCGACACCTTGAAGGCGACGGGCCAGAATTTTCGCGAAGATCTTGTAATCGGTATTGCATAGCGTTATTGGGCGATAACCGGTGACGCTGCGCAGTTTCACGGGGTCATCAGATTTCGGTATCAGGACAGTGTAGGCACGAGAAAACGAAAAGGGCAAACATTCTCTTTCATAGGCAGTATGAATGACGTTCAAAAAAACACTAGCTATTAGGCTCTTAAAGTTCTTGTAAAATTCTGCGCCCAATCCATCCGGTCCCGGCGTCTTAGAGTTCGGCAGGTCGTCGATTGCGCGCTCCACTTCTTGGATCGTAATTTCTTGCTCAAGCTCTTCGCATTCATCATTCGATAGCCTTGGCAGTTTTTCCAAAAGCTGGGCATAAATGTCCCTATGACACCCTTGCGCTTTGTTAGCAAAAAGCTGTGCGTAATGCTCGAGGAAGGCCTGTGCTATTTTCTCGGGATCCGTAGTAATCATTTGCTTGAATTCAATTTCGGTTACTTCGTTCCGAAGTGCGTAACGCTTCTCGTCTGCCAAGGCACGCTTAGTGGGCTGCTCGCCCATTGTGTATTTTTCTGCACGGGCGCGCACTACTGCACCACGATAGCGCTCGCGGTGGAGCTGATCTAATTTTTCTCTGACATACTCCACGTCTTTTACCCCATTATCGGGTCTTTCGCACTCTGCTTTACATAGCTCTATCAAGTCCTTATTTAAACTGCGTTCCTCACAACGGGCGTTGTACGAAAGAATTGACGACCTCTCAATGGCGATTGCCTTAATTTCTTGTTTTGCCAGTTCCCATTTCTCGAAAATGTCCCCTCCCGGCTCTTTAAAAGCATCTTTCAAAAACTGTTCTGCGTTTTTTAGAAAGACATTGTCTTTCAGAAGCTTTATGTTTAGTTTCCATAGGTTCCAATTAAACTTTTTCTTTTCAGGTGCTCTGTCGCCTATCGTCGCGATAACCAGACTGTGGTCTGAGAAAAAGACTGGAGTGACACGGTACTTTCCTAAATGTTCTGCTAGAGGGGCAGAAACATACACCCTGTCCAAACGCGCACTGGACGACGCTTGAAAATGGGTAAAGCGCATTTCCTTCTTCGCGTTTTTTACAGTGCCCACATCAATCAGGTCATAATCCTCCAACATTTCGCCCAAAAGTAGTTCACTCTTATCAGCGTTCCGTCTTATTGGCGATCTATCCAACTGTCGTACAACACAATTAAAGTCACCCACAAGGACTAGAGCTCTATCGCAATCAAGATACCGTCGTAAACCGCCAAAGAATAAAACGCGGTCAGTGGTCACATTTGGGGCATAAATGCAAATAAGCCTGAATTGATTTGACGTTAGCACAAAATCACACATAATGAAACGTCCTTCAGTGTCCGTAGTAACGCATAACTGCGACAACGGTACCGACTTCTTCAGAAGCAGAAAGCACCCTGCCGAATGACCAACTGCATGCGTCACACAGATTTCGTAGTTAGGCATGAAAGGTCTGACTGCTTCCTCTACCTGTTCCGCCTCAGCCAATTTAGTTTCTTGCAACGCCAAAAAATCGGGTTGCTCTTTCGACAATAATCGCTGTATTTGGTACTGCTTTTTCCTAGTGCATAAACCACGAACATTCAGCGTTGCAACTGTAATGGCTGATTGGGACTCACAAATCATGCGCTGTGCTTCGGTGCAGACACTAAAAACCTAAGCAGTCAGGGTCGAAGTTGATGCAGCAATCTTGAACACCAGGGAACCAGGCAAAGAACGCCTTACTTGCTTTCCCTGCGCCGACGTTCCTCTTTAGGATTGTTGGGCGCGGGCTGGTAACGCCCCTTCTTCGTGCGTTCCATCCAGGGGTGTAGTTGGCGTGCTCCGTTTCCTGCTGCCGTATCGTCATCGAAGGCTCGCTTAGTTGACTCGCTGGTGTCGTCCATATCTGAAGGTCCGTTGGTGCTTGCGTCGTTCGATTCCTTGTCTCCTCCGGCATCAGAGGGTTTCACGTCGGCACCGCTGGGAGGTGCGCGTTCCGGTTGACTTCCGTTCTCTCTGGCTGCCTCCAAGGAGCTGTTTCCTTCACTCTTGCGTTCTTTGGCAGGGGTTGAAACTTCTGGCGCCAAGCCCTGGATAGTACGCTCCGCTTCCTCGGCATCCATGGCGTGGTCATTGGTCTCGGTCGTCCCGGCCCCGCTGGCCACCCTGGCGTACGACCTGACACACTCGGTGCCATAATGCCCGAAGCGAAAACACTCCGAGCACTTCGGCGCCCTGCATTCTCGTCGAATATGACCTGTGCGCTTACAGCGTAAGCACAAGGGCGCCCGACCAGGGATCACAACAAGTACGTTACCACCTTGGATCCGAAGCTGGTGTGGCATGGTATCGGCCGTGCCGCCTTCGTTCAGTGTCATCCGCGCACACCTGGTCGTTGATTCGATCCCTTGGAAGCCTTCAACATTCCACTTCTCCCGGCTCACTTCCAGGACCTTGCCATACGGCTCCAATTCCTTACGCACAACGTCGTCCGGCACATCATACGGGATCCAGTGGAGACGAAGCCGTAACTCCGTGATGCTGGGATCCACGACGAGGCACCGAAGACCCTTCACCTGCAGTTCTTTGGCGTCCACGAGTCGTCTCTTTGCTTCTGCCGTTCGGAGGGTAGCCATCCAAACATGATTCATTTGGTACGCACCGAGTGCTGCGATGTCGCCGAGTACGCCGCACCTGGCCATCTCTTGTCGAAAATCCTGGATACGGTAGGGGCGCCCTTTCAAATCGCAATGCAGAAGCACCGATGTTTCACTAGTAATTCCTGTAGGCATCTGTGGTAAAACAATCTTATAGTCATCGTTCGTCGATTCACCGGAGTGATTAGAACCGCGGCCAGCAAGGGCCGTTGCAGACGCTTCCACGGAGCTCACGTTTCGAACGTCTTGCACGTTCGGCACGCGCGCTCGCACTCTCGGCCACCGATCCCCCTGGTGCTTGATGCTTGCTGATTCTTCTGTACACTACCATGTATCAGACACTAAATAAGCTACTGGTGCACTACAGTGCACTGCAGCTCGCAATATTTGCGACAAATTTGTTCGCAGAGATATGGAGTTATAGCGGACGTTTTTTTTTTAGAACGCAGCTTTTAGGGGCCCGTTTCCGGCTTGAGCGGCGTCGGCGTCGCCGTCGGCGTAACTGCGAGGTCACGTGACCCCCCGAGGTCACGTGACCCACCCTGGTCACGTGAACCCCTGAGGTCACGTGACCCCCTGAAGTCACGTGACCCCCTGAAGTCACGTGACCCCCTTGAGGTCATATGACCCCTTCTGGTCACGTGACCCCCCTCAGGTCACGTGACCCCCTTAGGTCACGTGACCCCCCTCAGGTCACGTGACCCCCTTAGGTCACGTGACCCCTGAGGTCACGTGACTCCCTGAAGTCAAGTGACCCCCCTGAGGTCACGTGACCCCCTGAAGTACGTGACCCCCTGAAGTCACGTGACCCCCTTGAGGTCACGTGACCTCAAGGAGTCACCTATCCCTCAGTACGCTTCCATCTTCCTCCTCAAGAGCTGCGCTCTAACCGGCGTTACAGGGAATTGTAAACGGCTTTCATTTTCTTTTTGTTCAGTCCTATATTATACTTCGTTTCACCTTATGTGGGAGCGAAGGCAAAGCTGGAAGCGCGAGCACGAAAGCTCCGTGCCTTCAGGCTTTGCTCGAGCGCGCGAGCTGGGGAGAAACGCAAAAAGCGCTGGTCTCGCGCTTCTAGCTTTGGCTTCGCTCGCAGACAAGGTGAAACGAAGTATAGAGGTGTACGAATGATGAAATTTCCGTTTGAATCTAGTTCGAATCGAATAGAGTCGAATAGAGGCCAAGATTCGAATGACGAATTACATATCGAACAGTCGAATATTTCTTTTGCAATACAAAAAAACTTAACAATGGTCGCTTCTATTAAAATCAAAAATAGGAAGCGCATATTTTTCTAAGCGGGCTGTACGAAGAGTAACTAGCACTCCGCGTTCGCCTTCAGAGGAGGCGAACGCGGAGTGCGCCCGGAGCGCGCCAAATAATCAACGGGAACTGCAATGAAAACCTGCCACCGAAGGATGAAAACGTTAGGGAGGTCTTTCAGTTGCCTCGCCTTTAGCACAAGCTTCCAAGCTTCGGTAACACTTCTGCTTCTCGTGAGCTTCGAGGGTCCGCGCACAGTCCAAGCACGGCGGAAGGCAACGAGGTACATTCGGTAGATCGGGCAACCGAAAGAGACCTTTTTCATCCTGTAAGTGACTCTAGGAGGTGTGTCGTCATCAGCACGAGCTGCGTGTAAACCAACTTATGCTCACCCATGAACAACAAGTTGTCGGTGCGAGAGGAATCTGGTGAGTGGTCGATGTCAACGCGCGCTCAACAGGACAGCGCGCAGCAATGGTTGCCATTGAAAACATACTTTAAACGCTGGTCCACGCAGCACTGTTTTCTTACATTTTCTTAAAGGGACCATATAGTGATCTTTCAACTTCTTCCTCCTTAGATTTAATCCTCAACTCAAAAGCGAAATGAGAAAGTATGTGGTGGTGACATCCTTGGGCACTGGAGGCGATGACTCCCAGCGTCTGCGGTAATCTTTCAGCACATAATGGCACTTGTCATTCTCATGTGATGTTAACTGCCGTCACGGCACTCATTGGCCACGAACGCGAATTCAAATATTCGTCGATGGATTGATAGTTGATGAGCGCATACATCCGAGTTACGCAGTGCTCATATCCAATACGTGAGATGAGTTCGGCTGACGTGCTTGGGCACCGAGGATGCGTCACAGTGAAAAGGCGGAGAACTTTCGAAGGAAAGGAAGTACGAAATAGTCCGCTATACTTTCAAAATTTTGAACCCAAAAGCAGGCTTCAGGTTTTCTATGCTTTGTTTACTAGATTTATTTTGGCCCACTAAACAATATACGATTCGTAAAATCCCAATTTATCCCAGCCGAAAATTAATATTATAGTGCCTTTAGTTACGTATAAATCACCGAAAAATTTGACTCTCGAATTTCGCGTGCCAGGTTATCTCCTTGAACTGGTAGCCACGCTTAATATGAGGCACGGATGTCTCGATTGCTTGTACGCAAGGTTTTGTAACGTAAAGTTACGTGAGAAAACGGCGCTGTGTGAGCCAGCGTCAACGTAGGAAAGCGGTGCTGTGTGACGCAGCCTTTTACGGCAAGATGTTTTGGTGGCTCCCTCTCATGATTCCTATCTGTGAGGCAGTGTTGCGGAATGGGCACCCCCATTCCATTCCAATTCCATTCGGGGGAATTAGAGTTTTCGATAATTCAATTCCTTTCAATTCCTAGGAATGGAGACACTGAGCCCATTCCCACTCCTGGAAGGGCTAAATCGTTCCATTCCATTCCTTTAATTCCTAAACGTAAAAATTGGCACTTGACAGCTACATTTTGTTGCCGGCATAAGCAGCATAAAGCTGACATTATCAAATGAATAAACAATTGCAAAAAAAAAGAAAAAAAAAAGCTAAATTTCTCAAAAAAGCACTGATTTTTACTAAGCGGACCGCTGGTGGCAGAAAGTGTTTATTTACAATGTACTGCAAACATCGAGAAAACCCCTTGATATGTCAATGCTTGTTTAAGACATCGGTCTCGCGACCACGTCGCTCGCAACAAACAGCAAAACTTAAATCCACTAATTTCTTTTCTTTTTTTAATTTTTTTTTGCATTTGACTTTTAAGACATACGCGGCCAGCGTGTTTGTTTGATAAGACCATAAAATAATATCCAGTTCGTGCGTGGCGCAGGAATAAGCTATATTACTGTATTCTTCAAATACAGCATCACGGCTAGTACACTGCTGGAAGCGACTCCATGCACAGCGGGAGAACACATCCTCTGACAAAATGCAACCTCTGCGGCGCAGCACGAGGGACCGTATAGACCATGTCACGAAACCTGTTTTAAAACGCATAAGTTCACGCTTGCTCTACGAATCTCGATATTTCTTATCATATTCAATTTTTGGCTGGTTCGCCTGCCCTTTTCCACCCTTCCCATACTCATTCTCGTGTTTCCTCTTCAGACGGCGAATAAAGTTCGATGATATACGCCGACTGCACCATGTATAGTTTCGTTGCACAACTTTCAGCGTGCAGCTTGTTTATTTTCTTCGCGTCTAATGTAGAAAAATGTCTTCTACGATGCCATGACTCAATCTGTATTTATCTTGTCTTCTCGTCCGAATTGTGATGTTCCTCTTCGCGCTGATCGAGTGGCGGGTTCAGGCAGCAGACGGTACGAACCGATTCATCCTTCTACCTCGGTGTCGGTTGTTCGCGTAGTGGCGACGGGTCGGGAAGTCAGCGTTGACAAAGCTCTTCACATCAAGATACAATTAACGGGGTAATACCGCACCGTTCGAATTGACATTCCCCGTGTTTCCTCATTAACAACGTCCAACTGACTTCTCACCGCCTCAAATCGGGTCCAGGACAAGGCGCACGAATGCAGACCGGACAGCCGAGACGCGCGGAAGCCAAAACCTGAGTGGCAGCTAGCACCCAGCTCTCCTTCTTAGTTGCCCTCACAGCGACGGTCGCACCTCGTCTGGCGCGGGACGGTCTTTCTGCCGGTCTAGTCAGTTCGGTCATACCAAGAGCGGCGACGATAGTCTACTTCACCTTACGATGAACCTCAACAGACAGCACGAGAGCCATCGAAACCAATCCAGTGCTTCCTGAGTGCTGCGTCACCCTGCAGTCCCGTTCACGGTACTGGATTGCCTAGGGTGACTCGTAGCGTCCGCAGCGGTCCATCGCAAGGTGAAACAAAGTATGCAGAGACTAAAGTCAAGGGAAATGAGTGGGAATCCGCTAACTTGCTTGTAACCTCAACCCACTAAAACATAAAACACAGAAAACAAGCATCGGAACAAAGACCAAGTAATAGGCGGACGCACAATACAAATGCAGTACAAAAAAAAAACAAGCCTCGGAGCAAAGCGCAAGAGGAGAAGAGGGAAGTGAATCTCGCTTTGTTTTAATGCCGAAGCAAACCCACATTTCGTACTTCAAAGGAGTGCGCACGAATGAACGTGGAAGGCAGCAGGGTTAACTGCCTGCTAAACAACGCGCGTCGAACTATAAGAAAACAATACCTGATCATCTTTCGACGGCGCCCAAGTGAACGAGTTATCAGAGCTCTGCGAGTTATGAGTCGCTTCCGCTCCCAGATCTCAGTCTGTGCGCGCGCGTGCATTCTACAAACCGTCGCAACAACAACAAAAAAAGCATGACAAGAAGTACGATGAGGAGTTGTGCATAGCTGTTTCTTTCTTTGCTGCTCCCTTTTCTTTTGCTTGGTGCTTGGTTTCTTGTTTCGCTCTCGTGTAACGCCATCGAAGCCAGACGCCTGCGCGTCTGTGAAAGGCGCCACGTTACCCCCCTTTCCTCTCTGCTCTTTGCTTTGACGCTTGTTTTTTTTTTGTATTGCATTTTGTTGGCGTATAAGTCTGTTAGGGCACCTCGCGGGCTAGCAGTTTCCCGCT